ATATATATATATATATATATATATATATATATACACACACACACATATATATAGCCAAAAGGGCATCATTCCAGGTTTACACGTCGCATCTTGCAAACAAGGTTGGCTGTGGGGAGATCAAGGCTTTCGGAGTCTGTTTTTATGACATCTTTGAGCTCCTCTCTTGGGGTTGATAGGCAAGTGTGAAATGTAGCCAGGATAGGAGGGATTGGCATTGACAGTGCTGACAGCACATTGCTCAAGTACTCGATATCTACCGACAGCTGTTGTGCTCCTCGATCTGTTATATACTGGATCCCTCGCAATTGCTCCATAAACAGAGCTGCAGCYCCTTCYGCAACCTACCACACACACAACAACCTCAATTRTTTCATAACTCATTCTGGCTTTTGATATTAAATTGACATGTATATAACCGTAAGTTTCAAAAAGGAGATCGRAAAATGCTCATTACCTTAAACATCCATTCTGTTGCAAAGAACTGGGCCTCCTCAGCATTGGTATCATTGTTCGAAATGGTCTCAGCTAGCGGCTCCAACTGCTGGGGTAAGGTKAGAAGGTATTCACCCACAGTTGTGAYGTACGATTGTGCGTATGCACTAAAGCTTGGGAGGTGAAAAGCGCTTTGTTCCTCTACCGCAGACCAGATGGGCAAATTTGATATGCCATTGAACTGCTTTCTTACTTTGGATATAAGAACATCGTACACAAGCTCATTCACTGTATCTACAAATGCTGAAACTCTCTGAGATGCAACTGGAAGTGCATGGAACCGTGGATCTTTTGACTGATGAAAACCAACATGTTATTTTCAGTCACATGCATATGCAATAGAGATAATAATAATAATAATAATAATAATAATAATAATAATAATAATAATAATAATAATAATAATAATAATAATAAAGTACCTGCTCCAACAGATTAAAAAGCTTCCGCGCTTTCTCTGGAGCATCAAAGAGTCTTAATGCTGCCATGTCCAATGCAGCCCTTCCGGCCATAGATAAATCTCCAGTTCCGTCAATTGCCTCATGTGACGAGTTCGGGTCAATACTAGAACCAAATACTGCAGAAGATAAGTTTGTGTTCAATCTAGCAAGTGTAGCTCTCAAGGAAGCTTCAAAAACTGCAGATCTACTSGACAAACAATCTGCAACTGTGAGTATTTGCAAYGCACTCTGAACATACGACCACTCTTCCTCACTTGACAACTCGAATTTGCCCCTTTTCTCTGATCCTATTTCCTTCTTTGAACCAACACCATCAGGAGCAACATCCACCCCACATACAATTCTAAGTGTTTTAAGGATATCTTGCAGGGTTGAAATGAATTGTAACATTACATCATCAAGGGCAAGAACAAGTTCATCAGCTTCTGAGCCACCAGTAAAGCTRATGCATCTGTCTACAGATGCTTCAAGAAGTACAATAACTTGTGGCACTGATTCCTCCATCCTTCTTACAGTCTCACTGAGTTCAATCCCTTGAGCTCCAATACCACGTGTAACAGCTCCTCTCAGGTCAATGCCTGCAATCTCAGCTGAGAGCGTAACACGCTCCATTTGCCCATACCTAGAACAAATAAGCAACTGTCAACCATAAAAARAACTAAAAACAATGTGAGACTACAAAATTGAATATGYAACAACATAGGTTAGATTCTAGCCTGTTATAATGATTTTTTAGCTGAACCAAAACAGGATGTGCATATTATTTGCCACTTCCAGCCTTAAATTTGATGTGACAAAGAGAATTCTATTATTTGTTCAACTTACAAATAAAACGACTACCAAAAAATAACGTGAACATATGCTAGGTAGATTCCAAAATGAAGATTAATGGARTAAAGATCAGATTAGATGCTTKTTCTAATRATAAAGAGTAAAACCAGATCWAAGTGAAACASGTCYTTAATTACAAGCAAATAGAAAGATGATGATTATTGAAAGATAAAGATAACATGATGGTAGTTGTTTTACTTGTATGCACCAGAGAAAAGGATGACCATGTAAACTAATTCTGGATGATGGTCCAGATTTCATACTCGACAATATTTTAAGTATACCCAAAAGGAATGTGAAATTCTTTCTTTCACAAAAGGGAGCATCTTTGTAAATGCGATAAGCATATTTGATAGATTCAAACAACTTGATAGATTCAAACAACGTATAGGAAATACTAAATTGAGCACCATCCAAATGCTCCAAAAGGCAACATGGAGAATGCAACACTAATACTCCCTCTGTCACAGAAGAATTAAGACATTTTTCTTCTTGGGTGTCGCACACAAATCACAACATTTCTCGAATTAATTACCTACATGGCAATCRTTGCAAAAGTAGCAGCAATTAATTTTGGATCCCAAGATTTATTTTGTTTTCTAAGGTGATAAAAGCAATGTAAGGAACAAGAATTCTAAAATTACAAACCTTTGCTTGTATGATTCATAAGGGAGGTAGATTGCCTTAAGAGTGTCCCTCAAAACWTTAAGATCTGACTCTCCAAAAAGGTGTTGAACATTTCTTGCAAAACTGCCGGTCATATTGTGTAGATCAATTAAAGCGTCCAAATGCTTAGTCTGCACTTTGACACCYTTTGGCATATCCCCAGATAAGATATCTAATACACCTGAAATCATAACATGGTAGCTAGGGTTGTGATGTTTGAAGGATACTTTAACTGAACAATGAAAACTGGCATATTGTATGATGGTATGTGACATGTGTGTAATTAAAGGCATAATACAAAAGTAACACCCAAAACTCCAATAGCAGAGGGATAAAGTGTGGACTGTTCTTGATGCATTAAATAGGTATCACCCTTTAAGATTAGAACTAGAAGAAACCAAAACAAATGTCCTGGATCCTTCAGAGCAAGTATTAGAAATTGTTTATACAAATTAACAAGCAATCCCCAATCGAGTTTTTTTTTTCTGTACAGAGATATCCTTAGAAGCAAAGACAAAAAAGCAGGCACTTATAGGAAAACTTGCAGCATTATCTATCAATAACACTTGCTGTGGTTTTCAAAAACAAATTGTATCATATTAATATAGGTGTGTAAAATGGTCAACCAAACAAAAGGTTCAAAGCAGGCTCTTAGGAGAAAACAGACATTAGTCCATGTCCTATAAAAACTGCAAAGCCAACCCTATCCACATTAATACGAGTCTTTGACTATTAGATAAATGTCTAAATACCCTTCCATTGTGACAAATAGAGTAGGAGTACAAAACCTGCTCTTACTTTTCATTTTAATGCAAATTTCATGTAACAAAATGAACATCACAAAGATTTTCATAGTGACCACTTGGAAGCAGCTTGTATTTTTGCTTAGAATTTTGCCAAAACGCAATGTTGCAATTCTTATGGGGCACAGGGAGTGAAAATAGTCTTTAGGCATGCCACAAGATGAACATTCTTTAAGGAAGAGGTCTTCCCTCACACATGCCCTCTGTTGGTCCACCAAATGGGCACTACATGTGTGCTTGGAGGCCTCTTCATTACCCACTACATTGTTTAGGATACCTCAAATACAAACAAACTGTGATCCAAAAAGTGGATCCCAATGGAGCTTCAGATTGCAACCTTTAGCTAATGCTTTGGTTTCAGGAACTACATCTCCAGTTGCAAGGTTGATACGGGAAACAAAGCTGGCACCCACAGCCACCATTGCTTCGATTAATAGGTTAGGGACAAGAGTCTTGTAATCTTCTGGAAAAGCAAGCATAGACCTGAAAAAATATAATCAACAAGGCATTTAAATGATAATCCGACTCTGATTAGGTATTATTCCTGTCAGTAATGCCAGTTCACAATGTTGTTGGGTCATTATTCCTTCTGCACAACATGATCAATTTAATAATTGCTGCAAATGACACATTATATTGGACGCACTATATAGCTAGAAATATCGACTGCAGAATGCACATCACTCTTGGAATATTCGTCAATTTCCTTTATCTACCTGATTAAACAAAATGACAATTTGTCTCAGGATAAAGAGTGGCATAGCATAAAGTGAGGTTCTCAACTTTATATAGACAGTAGTGAGAATCTTTACCATTCACACCACCCATCTTTGGTTCCATATGATTAGACTGAAACCAATTACCATAAGAGGTTGAATATCTACTTATACAAGAATTTATATGAATATTATGACTTATGTTTTTTTAATATGATCCAACCCTGCCATGGATCAGAGTCAAAGGTTGAAATAAGCATTTATTGTGAATTCCCTCTATATCTTTATGTACACTTATCCAGGTTTCTGGTAAACCTCCGTTGAGGTTTACGTATAGAAGAAGAAACTTTTAGTTAGCAGTTCAACTACTGTTTGGTAGCGTATAATTGAGGGTAGTTTGGTATTTTCGTCGAGTTTAAATAGCTAGCTGTCAGTTAGTGTCAGGTATTCTGTTTTGAAGAAATTCAGTTGTAGAGTGCAAAGCGAGAGCTTTAAGGAGAGAATCCCAGACCTCTCGAAAGTTTGGGAGTTGTAATCGATTTCCAATTTCATAATAGATTGGCCGACAATTTCAGCCTTGTTCATCATCAATTGCCGACTATCAATCGCGTCCCTGTTTCCATTACTTACGTTACAGTTCGACAGCAGCTGAAGGTACGTTTTCTGTTAGTAATTTGAGCTAGGGTATAACAAATTGGTATCAGAGCACGTTTCGATTGATGATGGCGAACGTCACGACGCGAAACACCAATAACCGAATTGAAGATTTGGAAAGTAGTGTGGGATCAATTGAGAGGAGTCTGGAACGTATTGTACAGCAAATTGAAGATTTGAAGAACGAAATGGTGAATCGAACGAACGCTACTAACTCTTCAGATGAAGAGATGACGACGCGGTTCGAGAGAGGGGAACGTAATCGAGGAGGTCAGAATCGATTTTTGGCAGTAAAGGGACGTAAACTGGAAATCCCGATTTTTGATGGCAAAGACCCAGATGGTTGGATTTTGAGAGCTGAAAGGTATTTCACGTTGAATCAATTGAGCCAAGAAGAAAAGATTGATGTGTCTTTTATTTCATTTGAAGGGGATGCACTGAAATGGTTTCAATGGGAACACAAGAGGCATCCGATTACCAGATGGGAAGATCTAAAACATCTACTGTTGAGGCAATTCAGGTCATTGTCAGCGGGTTCTTTGTGTGAACAATTTTTATCAGTAAGACAAGAAGGTTCGGTTGAAGATTATAGAAGGAAGTTCGTTGAGTTTACAGTGCCATTGGATGGGATTCCAGAACAAGTTTTTTTAAGCGAATTCATTAATGGTCTAGAAGAGTCTATTAAAGTAGAACCGAGACTCTTGGATCCATTAACACTTAGCGAAGCAATGGAGATAGCTATGAAGATTGAAGTGAAAAACAAAGTGTTATCCAGAGAGAAGAATGCAGGATACGGCAAGAAAACAGGTTCATCTTTCTATTCTAATCAAGAGTCGAAAAGCAATTTTTCTAGTCATGGGTATAATAATGTCGCAAATTCTGTTAATTCCCCAACAATTGCAAGTAAAGCAAATACCGGTTTTCGTCGTCAGTCTGATCAAGAGGTACAACAAAGAAGATCGTTGGGTTTATGTTATCGGTGTGATGAAAAATATGCCCCTGGCCATAAGTGCAAGAAGAAGGAGATGAGTGTGTTGCTAGTCCAAGATGATGTATTCGAAGATACGGAGCTAGAAGCGGAGGAAAGAGCTTGCAATACAGCTGAAATTGCTGAAAAAGTAGAGGTACATTTAAATTCAGTTGTAGGTTTGACTAATCTCAAAACTATGAAATTGGAAGGAAAGATTGAAGGACAAAAGGTGGTAGTGTTAATTGATAGTGGGGCCACACATAATTTCATATCATATGATTTGGTGAAACGACTGAATTTAAAAATAGAAGCTACGGGTGAATATACAATTACGTTGGGTTCCGGAAACATGGAGAAAGGTAGCGGTATTTGCAAGGGAATAATGTTGTTTTTACCTGAAGTTGAAATAAGAGAAGATTTTCTTCCTTTAGGGTTGGGTAATAGCGACGTGATTTTAGGAATGCAATGGTTGGAGTCTTTGGGAGCGACTTACGGTAACTGGAAATTACAAGTGATGAAGTTCTCTTGTGGAGGAAAATCGGTAATGTTAAAAGGGGACCCGTCTCTGGGACGTTCAATGGTATCATTAAAGGCGATCGGAAAAATGATCAATCATGAAGGACAAGGCAGTTTGGTGGAGTTGGGCACTTGTTCGGTGTTTTCGGATAATATGGCGGAATCAAATGTTGCTTTGGAACCACTATTAAGAGAATTTGAATCGGTTTTTAACATGCCACGGAGATTACCACCGGAGAGAGGAAGGAAGCATGGGATAGTGTTAAAGGAAGGGAATGAAACAATTAATGTTTGGCCGTACCGCTATCCTCATTATCAGAAAGATGAAATTGAAAAATTGGTAAAGAAGATGCTCGAGGCGGGAATTATTCAGCCGAGCATGGGTCCTTTCTCTAGACCGGTACTGTTGGTAAAAAAAAAAGATGGAAGTTGGCGATTTTGTATTGATTATCGCGCATTAAACAAGGTCACTATTGTTGATAAGTTTCCAATCCCGGTTATTGAAGATCTTTTGGATGAATTGCATGGGGCAACCGTATTTTCTAAACTCGATTTAAAATCGGGTTATCATCAGATTCGAATGAAAGAGGAGGACGTTTATAAGACAACATTTCGTACACATCAAGGACATTACGAGTTCTTAGTAATGCCCTTTGGATTGGTTAATGCACCGGCCACATTTCAAGGGTTAATGAATGAAGTTTTCAAGAATTATCTACGGAAGTTTGTATTGGTTTTTTTTGATGATATTCTGGTCTACATTAAAACAATTGTAGAACATCAGCTGCATTTACGGAAGGTGTTGGAGGTTCTTTGCCAACATCAGTTGTTTGCGAATAAAAAGAAGTGTGAGTTCGGTCAAGATCGTTTGGGGTACTTGGGCCATATAATTTCAACAAAAGGAGTCGAAGTTGATCCATCGAAGATTGTTGCGGTTTGGGATTGGGTGGAACCGAAATCGGTGACGGAATTAAGAGGATTTTTAGGGCTGTCCGGGTATTATAGAAAATTCATAAAAGGTTACGGTATTCGAGCCAAACCTCTCACCGACCTCCTTAAAAAAATCAATTTCAGTGGACTCCGGAAGCTCAACGGGCGTTTGATGAATTGAAGATAATGTTATCTTCAACCCCGGTATTACGCCTTCCCGACTTTTCTAAAGATTTCGTAGTAGAGACAGATGCATCGGGATATGGTTTGGGAGCGGTTCTTATGCAAGAGGAACAACCAATCGCGTACTTTAGTCAAGCTTTGGGGCTAAGGGCAAAACAGAAGTCGGTTTACGAGAAGGAGTTAATGGCCATTGTGTTGGCTATAAAAAAGTGGAGACCATATTTGTTGGGAAAGAAGTTTGTAGTTCGTACAGATCAACATAGCTTTCGTTTTTTATTAGAGCAACGGGTGGTGGAACCGGAGTATCAAAAATGGGCAAGTAAATTGTTGGGTTATGATTTTTCAATTGTCTACAAGCCGGGGAGTTCCAATCAAGCGGCGGATGCGCTTTCTCGTAAAATTGAGTCGGTGGAATTGGCCAATATGGTGAATTTTACGTGGAGAAATTGGGATGACTTGAAACAAGAAATCGTTGGCGATAGTTTTCTGAACCGTATCAAAGACGACTTAAGTTTGGGGAAGGCCGAGCACAAGGGATTCGAGATTCAACAAGAGATGCTATTGTATAAAGGTCGTCTGGTCATTCCTCGTTTGTCCAAAATGATACCGCTAATTTTTGAGGAATTTCACGGATCACCAATTGGAGGTCATATGGGAGAAGATCGGACGTATCAACGTATTGCATCGGAGGTTTTTTGGATGGGAATGAAGAAAGACATAGTGGATATGGTTAAAAATTGTGAGGTGTGTCTAAGGAATAAAAATCTAAGTGGTAGTCCGGCTGGCCTTTTGCAACCGTTATCCTTACCAGATAAAGTATGGGACGAGATTTCTATGGATTTCATCGAAGGTCTACCCCGATCTAACGGTATGAGTTCCATCATGGTAGTAGTAGACAGGCTCAGCAAATACGCCCATTTTGTTGGTTAAAACATCCTTTTAGTGCTCAAACGATAGCAGAAGCATTTGTAAATAATATAGTCCGATTGCACGGGGTTCCTCAATCGGTGATTTCGGATCGGTATAAGGTTTTCCTTAGTCGATTTTGGAAGGAGTTGTTTCGTTTGCAAGGAACAAAGTTGAAGTTCAGTTCGGCGTATCATCCACAGTCGGACGGTCAAACCGAGGTAGTGAATCGTTGCTTGGAGCAATATTTGAGATGTTGGGTGTCATCTACACCTAAACAGTGGTGCAAATGGCTCCCATGGGCTGAACTTTCATATAATACGTCTTTTCATACGGCCCTTAAAGTGTCTCCTTTTAAGGTGTTGTATGGAAGAGACCCTCCTCCTTACTTCGTTATAAAGCAAATTCATCGAGGATACATTTGGTAGATCAAGAGTTAATGGATAGAGAAGAAATGCTTGATGAAGTGAAGTTGCAATTGTTAAAGGCTCAATTTCGTATGAAACAGTATGTTGATTTGAAGCGTAAAGAAGTGGAGTTTGTAATAGGAGATTGGGTTTTCTTGAAGTTACGTCCTTACAGACAGAAATCACTGGTGATGGGGAATAGTCCTAAACTTCTAGCTCGCTTTTATGGACCGTATAAAGTGCTGGAAAAGGTGGGAAGTGTGGCGTATCGTTTGGATCTACCAAGTTCAGCGAAGATTCATCCGGTTTTTCACGTATCTCAATTAAAGAAAGCTGTCGGAAGTTGTATTTCTACTCAAGATTTTCCAAATCAAATTTCGGACGAATTGGTATTACAAGCTGTTCCGGAAGATATTTTGGATGTGCGACAATTACCAAATGGTGATGTGGGTCAAGTTGAGGTTTTGGTTAAATGGGAAGGAATGTCAGATTTTGAAGCTTCTTGGGATAATTACGAGGCACTTCTTCAACAATTTCCTCATTGTCACCTTGAGGACAAGGTGAAATTTTTGGGGGGGAGTATTGGTAAACCTCCTTTGAGGTTTACGTATAGAAGAAGAAACTTTTAGTTAGCAGTTCAACTACTGTTTGGTAGCGTATAATTGAGGGTAGTTTGGTATTTTCGTCGAGTNTTGAGGTTTACGTATAGAAGAAGAAACTTTTAGTTAGCAGTTCAACTACTGTTTGGTAGCGTATAATTGAGGGTAGTTTGGTATTTTCGTCGAGTTTAAATAGCTAGCTGTCAGTTAGTGTCAGGTATTCTGTTTTGAAGAAATTCAGTTGTAGAGTGCAAAGCGAGAGCTTTNGGTATTCTGTTTTGAAGAAATTCAGTTGTAGAGTGCAAAGCGAGAGCTTTGAGGAGAGAATCCCAGACCTCTCGAAAGTCTGGGAGTTGTAATCGATTTCCAATTTCATAATAGATTGGCCGACCATTTCAGCCTTGTTCATCATCAATTGCCGACTATCAATCGCGTCCCTGTTTCCATTACTTACATTACAGTTCGACAGCAGCTGAAGGTACGTTTTCTGTTAGTAATTTGAGCTAGGGTATAACAGTTTCTCACTATGGTCATCGGACAACTATTGCACAAATTTATAAGACCATGATGGCCCCTTATTATGATCATTGTACATGACAAGATAAATTAAAATGGTTCATCATTCATAAAAGGTTATGTGACACTTGAAGAAACAAAAAGTATGTCCAAAGTTCCATACTCTCTACCTATGCCTACATATACAGTACACACCTATACTTCACCAGAATTACAAATATACTCATAGCTCTCATGAAAATAAAATCTAGTATCTTCATCAATGAGGAGAAAGTCTTCACATAATGTAGGTTATTTGGTAGGGAGAAATACAATAGCAAGTGAAGAAGGAGAAATGACTTCGAAAAGCGTAATCTGCTTACAAYGTTGGAAGAACCAACAATATAGGCCTATGGTAGTTATACCAGTATGATCATATTTTCAAAGCTCAGCAGTCAGCATTCCARYCCAATTACAAATCAGTAATTTGTCATGGCTTTATTTTAAGATTGGATATGATTCATCAACGGTTCCAAACTGAGGCTGTTATGTTGCTATTTGAGAACTACTGATTCCTGGGATCCATTCCATACAGAGTAATAATACTTTCTAGGGATTATTTGGATCTAATATCTTCAGAGAGAAGTTAGAAAAAGGAATATTTGTATAATTTAAAAGAGGAAAGAATCATATACTTCTAGAACGTACTTTTTTGTGGAGGAACAACACAATGGCACATAGGAAAGGGTTACAAGTCCACCATATGACTGACAACCATAAGCTTTTCCTATAAAAACTAATGTAGCCTACTAAAATCAGAAATGAAGGACAAAATGCTTACCATTTCCATTCTTGTTCAAGATAAAGTAACAATTCATCATAGAAACTTGGCAGCCAACTGGGAAACGAAACTGTAGGCAAACTTGATTGATAATCATGGGCACTTGAAATACTCTCAACCTGATTCCTTTCGCTTCCTGTCTTAGTACGCTGTTGTTTTAATTCATAATCCTCCCACAGCTGCCTTATAGGTTTTAGATGAACTTTGGTATAGTGAGATTCCAAGGACTTGTATCTTCCAATCCGAATGAGAATTTCCCGCAAATCTTGGGCAACATTAACCTAAACACAGGAAAAATAAAAGCACTTTAAGCAAATTTTCAAAATGTACAACTTRACAGTGCAAGCAATACTTATAGACACTCTGTTATAGATTTATCAGAATATTTTTCCTTCAAACTTCACCTTGCGATTGGTTATTGCATCTGTTAGACGAGGTTGGACCATTGAGTCCAGTCTGTCCTCTAAGACTTCAAGCTGCTTTCTAATATTGGCAAACTCAGCAACCTGAATGGAAAGGGGTGGACAAACCAGTTAATGGATAATGGGATCTCTTTTACAAAATGATACATATGTATTTGGTTAACTTTTACCTCCCCAACAGCAGACAAACAATGCCTCATGTTGGCCAAGGTCTCTGCCGCTCGAGGAAGATCATTACTGGCAAAAACGTCCTCCACAGTGGAGCTTAACTGAGTCAACCCCGCAGCATCCTATACATAAAAAAATCCAAGATGTTTACAAGATGCAGTGACATAATAATAAACCAAAGCACACGAATGATGGTGAACGAAGCTGATGCATTAAAAGGATCAAGTATATCTCTACCTGAAGTGTTTCATAGGCAGCTTCCATTCTACGCTTGACTGTATCAACTTTAGCAAGGGTAGCTATAGATTCTGCGGATGAACCCTCTGCCTATAKATTAAAAAAAAWAATTACATAWATGGTTAACCTTCTAAACGATATTTCACTGCGTAGTATTTCTATCCACTAGCTATTCTCCTCTRTCTTGCCTATAAACAAAAGCATCTCATTATGCAAATAGATATGAAATATGTACAATTTGTTATATCTAACATTGAACTTCACACTTCTTCCTGTTCATGTGTAGGCTTAGAGTTGCAACACATTATCAATATCCTCATTCACTTGTCAGATATTGTAGCACTTGCTCATTTATTCAATGCTTCAATTAGTCACAGTATTATGGTTACAGAGTGTGATGATCATGCTAAATGTCTATATCAGAAGTCAGAGTAGAATGTACATATGATGCTTACCGAAGGACATTATGCTTCTAAAGGTAAAGTACGGGTTGAATGATGTGTAGTAAATTTAGAAAGTAGATAAACATGAATGCTCAAAAAAAGAAATCCACAACAATATGTTTGAATTTAGAAATATTAACTGAACTCCGAAAACTCTCAAAGTTCTATGTTCCGAGATGAACCCCAATTTAACAGCAAAATGGAACAGCATCGCACAATTAGCCCATATATCCGGAAAGTACAGTCTGAACAGTGGAAAATAGAACAAAGCTAATCCTCCGATAGTTAATAAGCCTAAAAATTAAACAATTGCGATTACATATCTTGTGATAAGCAGTGAGATCTCACTTTTTTGAGCTTGAGGAGGATTGATGCGACGGATTGACGTAGAGAGAGAGCATCGTCGCGGAGGCGGATCACGTCACGGGTAGCGCGAGGGACACGGAGGATGGCGGCGGAGCTCTGTTCCTCGAGTGAGGCAGCGATCTCTTCCGATACCATCTGTAGCTTCATCTCGAGATCCACTAGGTGCTTGTCTAAGGGATCTTGAGGGTGCCGTGACTGGCAAGCATTGTTTATCCATTTCTTGGCGTCGAATTTCTCGTCGGAGAACGATCCCAGATCTATCATCATCTTCTCCAGCCACTGGAAATGTTTCAGTCGGTGAAGACGAGTGAACGACGAACTAACTATATTTGATGATATTTGCACTATGTTTCAACTTTTTCCTCCGGTTTTGATTTTGAGAAAATTACGCCGTTGGTCCTTGTGGTTTGCTTAAAATCTGGATCCAGTCCCTAATCCAAAATAATTACGAACCGGTTTGCAGTGAAATTGCTAACTCGGCGGTTTGGTTAATTTACAATTATTCCTTACTAGTGTTTGACATCGTGCGTTATGCAATGATGATAATTTTTTTAAAATTTATTGAAATTAGCTAAATAAGTCGATGATCACATTTATATATTAAATTAATAAGATCAACATTACCTTTGATATATGAATCTAACTTATTATTTTTTGTTGTTCTTTTAATATTATATATACATATATATATATAATTATTAAGTCTTATATATCAATCTTTTATTATATTAAACTTTGTCATTGGTTCAAAATCATAAAAAAAATATGTGAAAATATTGATTATAATCATGAGGTGTATTAAGATAATTTACCATAATACATATCAATTTATCTTCTACATATATTCTCATAAAATATTTATATTCACTAAGCAATAATTTTGTTGTTATTTACATTGATATAATTATTGAATATTTTTGCAATTTATTTATATTAGTTCATGATATACCCATTTGCAACATTGATCAAGAACCTCATTGAAACCACTTTTTTCCTACATGTGATTGCATAAAATGAAAATAATAGCTAATATTATGACAATTCTAGATATATAAAAGTCTGATTGATTTGTTATTTTTTTCATTTGACTTGTTCAAGCTTTTTAGATTTGTTTTAGACAGTTCATAGTTTGGTTTATTTATAAAAAATCCTGAAAATAGAGGTTTTAATAAAATTATGTAAAATAAAAGATAGGTATTATATTGAATTTCATATTTTAAATATAAGGATGGAAAAGTCTTTTACATATATCAAATATTTTAAAAAATAAAAAATCTAAGAAAAAATGGTTTCTAATGTTTAGAGGATAACACCTCATTATGTTTGGTTTCTTCTTTAACAATTAAAAATATTAGAAAATAATTTTCAAGCTCAATGCTAAAAAAAAAAAATCACAATAGACCGATTAACATCAACAAAAACAAAAACTCATATCATATTTGTTTTCATGAATGACGCCTCAAATCAACAAAAAAAACAAAACATATCCACAAAAACTGAATAAAGAAGAAGAATTGAGAGATTAAAAGAGATTATTATGCTAAACAATGTTACCTTATTTTATCAAAGATTCATATGCCACTTTATTCAAACAAAAAAATCATATGCCTACATAATTCCAATTTTAGTGTGAATTCTCCGACTAAAAGACGAAATATTATATTTAAATAAGCAAAAACTATGATTAGTCTTATTGAATGACGCCTCAAATCAAAAAAAAATATAAATCACCCCCACAAAATTATAACTGAATAGAGAGAAAGAATTGAGAGATTCATATGTTTGTATAATTCCAATTTTAGTGTGAATATCTCCAATTAAAAGACGAAAATACTATAATTATATTAACAAAAACTCATATCATATTTCTCTTATTGAGTGACGCCTTAAATAAACAAAAGTGTAAATCACCTCAAAAACTGAATAGAGAGGAAGAATTGAGAGTTTTTTTTTTCTTAAATAATGTTACACTATTTCTTCAAGGATTCATATGTCACTTTATCCACACACAGGGCCGGCCCTGGCCATAGGCCCAGGGGGCGACGGCCCAGGGCAGCATGAAGCCCAAGGGCATCAAATCTGTAAAGCCCAATGTATATATAGGTTGAGTTTTTTTAGGCCTATGAAAATCTAATGTTACCGCCCTGTTTCTTCCTCTCGATTCTCGCCTCCCTCTCGACTCCTCTCGCCTCCCGCCTCCCTCTAACGTTGTCGTTCAATCTCAATCGAAATCAATATCGCAAAAAGGCTCTAGCTCTCACGCTCCGTCGCTCAATCTCAATCGAAATCAATGTCGCAAATGGCTCNTAAATTAAAGAAATTACATAAAATATGAAAACTTTTAAATAGTTGATTTGATATTAACATTGATATATTTTTTTTTCAAATTTTTATGATATTTTCAAATTTATATTTTATTCAAAAATAAAATCATTATTGTTTTCTTAAAAACACATAAAATTGTATTATAACATCTACAAAGACATATATATAATATTAAAATCGAGATGTGTCTCGCTGCATTGCGCGAGTACTCTTCTAGTATTATAAAAGCATTTGACAAAAAACTCTTAAAATTTATTTATTTTTACGCATGATGTACTGCTTATTGATGCATATTACTTAAAATTCAAGAGTACAAGTAAATTGTACACAAGTACAATTTATTAAATCTTCATGTTAAAATTCTTGTAACTAACTGCAGATAAACATAATCAAATACAAGATAAATTTTTCATTTTAAATATAAAAATTTAAAATATAATTAGGATAATCATTGAGTTATAACAGAATACGTAATTATTATATTTATAAAATATATATTATTAAATCAAAAATAAAATATCTTCGTTATTAAACCTAAATTAAATTATAAAAAAATTGAATTAAAGAAATTATACGAAAAATTAAAACCAAGATACATCTCGTTGCATTGCACGAGTACCCTTCTAGTATATATATAATATATGATTTTGGATTAATTTCAAGTAATCAATTTTAATTTGTACTTCTTGATGTTTTGTTTCATGTTAGAACCATTGTCATAATCTTAGCTCATCATATCGTCAATAGATTTAAGTACATCTAATAATTTATCGAACAATCTCACAATAAAATATAAAAAATCCTATTACCTCTAAAACCCAATAGATTATCATAACGATAAATAAAGTCGTCTATTCAGGGTGCGTTTGATATGTAGACTGAACGGGATGAGACGGGATAAAAAAAAATAGTCTCATATTTGACATACTATGGACAAAAATTATATGGATAATATGAGACTATTTTTAAATTTGATCAGACAAAAATTGATGTTCCACAAAAAAAAAAATGAAACAATATGAGACTAAACCCTAAATTTACTACCTTACCCATAAACCCAATAGAAAACCTACCCTCCTTTGCCCTCGTCTCTTTCACACCCACACTATTTCACTACCACATCGCCTCCTTCCACGCCGTCTCCTTCCACCCGCCTCCTTCCACCGGCTTCATATCGGTATGAATTTCATTTGCGTCGATTTTTTTTGCTGTATCGATTTCATTTTAATCGATTTTGCTGTATCAATTTCTCTTTTGCTGTATCGATTTCTCTTGTCCTGGCATCGATTTCTCTTTTGTTGGCATCGATTTCTCTTTTGTTGGCATCGATTTCTTTTGGTAGATTTTTGTAAACCCTAACAAAATCCCCTCTGGGTGGATTTCTGTTGGCATCGATTTCTTTTGGTAGATTGTGGGTAGAATATGTGTGATATGAAACTGTTAATCACACTCTTTTTCTAATATACCTGTGGGTAGATGTTAATCAGCCTCTGTTTCTAATATGAAACTTGATTATAAGAATTTGTCATTTTTTTGGATTTGTATTTAATGTATTAAACTTGATTATAAAAACTATGTAATTAAAATATATTTTGGTTGATTTGTTGTCATTTTACAATGATTATATTATACAAAATAACATTGAACTACATTTAGGGGTAATATGGTCATTTTAACAGTTTTGTCCCGTCCTCCTAGTTGTACCAAACATGGGACAGACAATTAGTCTTGTCCCGTCCAGTCCAGTCTGCGTACCAAACACTACCTCAAGGACTTGATGTCAACTCTAAGTACAAAGGGTAAACATGTGTAGTCATTTAAAATAGTAAATAAGGAAGGGGAGGGGGTTGGATTTGATGATTAATAATTAATCTAAACATGCAAAATAAAGTAAAATTATAAACAATAAGAAAGATGAATCTAGCATGGAGTATCAACCAAGCAATTCTTTGGACAACGTATCCTAGGCTTAAGCAAACAACGTTTTCTCAACAAAAATCAGAGAGACCTTGAATATTGATACAAATCAAAATTCAGTTATCTCAAAAACACGGCTAGCACGAGAAGCTCAGTGATTAGCCTATGACTAGCTAATTAAATCCAATCACAAACCAGGAGCTAAGTCGCATTAGAATCAAGCAACTCACGAGTACTCTTGACTAACAATCGAATGATGATTATTAAAATCAGATTATGCAGTCCTATAACAACTCCAACCAATACAAAAAAAATGACCGAGTGTTGATTGCTACTAAGATAAACCAAGGAACAATTATCTTTCGTTTTCTTTCTTATCAGAGAGGGGTCCCTTGTTGAGCGGGGCTTCTTTTTGAAAAAAGGGGGAGTGAGGGGTGGGGAAGGTCCGGAAAGCCTTGGATTCAAATGACAGATCCAACTCAAGATTTTCAACTTAAAATCGAACATCAAGGTTAACTATATACCCATTGCTAGAGATTAAAAGATTAGTTATTGATATCTAGAACTGAACACTTTGAAAGGATTGTATGCTGATAAGAAATCTGAAAATTCTCGAATTGTTCTTCCCTTTTTAAACAGTTATTCATCGGTATTTAAACCTCCTACAAGAACCCACAAACCCACAATTTGGACTAAACTCGCTTGAAAAATGTGGATGGAAATTGAAATAGTGACTAACGACAATACACGCCATTGGTTTTGGTCCCGAACACAGTGTCTAAGGCAGGATTTGGGAAGACTTTTACCACCGGATTAGAAATCAACAGCTTAGTGGGTTGAGAGACTTGGGTACTTGCTTGCCGGACTGGGCTGCTTTGAATTGGTGTTGGCCCAACGTTTCTTATTCACTTACCTCTTTCCTAGGTTTTGCATTGCTATTTGCATTGCACATAAGACAATCAGGTGATATTCAGCCAGCCCTTGTAACTTATGTATTCTCTCTGTGCGTACGTTGAATGGATCTTTGTCGTTTCTGTTGAAATATATTGTGAATTACCAATCTTGACTTTATGTCTATTTTGTCACGTTATTTGTAGATAAGGGTTGTAATTGACAAGGGGATTAAAGCTGAAGGGTTGATGGACTGCGCCTCACTTCTGGTACCCATCACTTTTCCATTTTGAAAAGGCTTTCATCAGGGTATGTTAATCTCTATATTGTAGGGTTTTTACATTGTTTCATAGCGTATTACTAATTTTTTTTAGATGGCTATGTTAAATTCACCAATTTTGTGTCCAAGAGGTATAAGCTTGAACTCGGTAATCTTTTTAAATCTTTTTTTAATTTAAAAAATCACATACATGATATATATATTTTTAATTAAAATAAATTTAATAAATATATATTAATCGTTCAAAATATGAATGTTCATTGGGTTTTTAATAATATATTTTTGTAAATGTAAGTACTTTTTTGTTATATTTGTTTAATTTTATAGATCTAAATATTTTTTGGTTCAAAAAATATTTAGGGGCTTAATCGTTCAAAATATGAATGTTCATTGGGTTTTTTTCCCCATTTTTTCACTATTTTACCACTTTAACTAGTTGTACAAGTCATAAGAATGTATCCAACATGTTTTATAAAAGTTCAAGAAGTTATTTAACATGTTTTGGATTGTTCAAGGACTTATTTGTTCCAAAAATTGTCCAAGGACTTATTTAACATTTTTTGGAATGTCCAAGGACTTATTTGTTTCAAAAATTGTCGAAGGACTTATTTAACATATTTTGGAATGTCCAAGGACTTATTTGTTCCAAAAAATTGTCCAAGAACTTATTTAACATGTTTTAGAATGTCCAAGGACTTATTTGTTCCAAAAAAAAGTCCAAAGACTTAATTATTCCAAACAAAAAAGTCCATTGGTTTTTATTGTACTTTTCCAAAAAAAAGAGAGGGTATTTTGTGTGATCTGATATTTGAACAAAACCCTAAAACCCTACAACTACAACCTCCGTCCCTTCGTCCCTCTCTGTCGTCTCACAGATTTATCGTAGCAGTGCCGCTGCCGGAACTAATTTAATGGGGAGAGGAAAACCTCTTCTTGTGAGCTCCGTAACGGAGCTGAAGAAAAAGGAGAAGATAGAGAAGAAAGCAAAATCAGGAGGCTTCGAATCCTTAAACCTATGCTCTAATGTGTTCAGAGGTGTTAAGCGAAAGGGGTATAGAGTACCTACACCTATACAACGTAAAACAATGCCCCTTATTCTCTCTGGCGCCGACGTCGTCGCTATGGCACGAACRGGGTCCGGTAAAACTGCAGCGTTTTTGATTCCCATGCTGGAGAGGCTGCAGCAGCATGTCTCCCAGTCTGGTGTTAGAGCCCTAATCTTGTCACCCACTCGCGACCTTGCTCTTCAAACCCTTAAGTTCACTCAAGAGCTCGGCAGATTTACAGGTAAAAAGWCAACTCCATCAGTTTGATTTGTCATACAAAATGAAATAGGAGTCAKTTATCTTCAAATTGCTTCCTTATATCCCCTCACATGTTTGCAAAATAAAATGCTTCTCTAGTTTTTCAGTTTTACATTCCATGACCTATATAATTTGATTTCCTTCATTTMTCTAATTTTGCAGACCTTCGTGTTAGTTTATTGGTTGGCGGTGATAGTATGGAAGGTCAATTTGAGGAATTGGCACAGAGTCCTGATATCATTATTGCAACTCCTGGYAGGCTCATGCATCACCTAGAAGAAGTTGATGATATGTCRCTCCGGTCAGTTGAGTATGTGGTATTTGATGAAGCTGACAGTCTCTTTAGCATGGGTTTTGCTGAGCAGTTGCACAGAATTCTTTCGCAGCTAAGTGACAATAGGCAGACCCTGCTGTTTAGTGCAACCTTACCTAGTGCTCTTGCAGAGTTTGCCAAAGCTGGACTTCGGGACCCTCAACTTGTGCGCCTTGATTTGGAGACCAAAATTAGTCCTGATTTGAAACTTACCTTTTTCACCTTAAGGCAGGAAGAAAAATTAGCTGCTTTGCTGTATTTGATCAGGGAACATATCAGATCTGATGAGCAATCATTGATATTTGTATCTACAAAACATCATGTCCAGTTCCTTGACCATCTGATAAGAGAAGAGGGYATAGAGCCTTCTGTTTGTTATGGTGATATGGATCAAGACGATCGCAAGATCAATGTCTCAAGATTTAGATCAAGGAAGACCATGCTTCTAATTGTGACAGATGTTGCAGCTAGAGGAATTGACATCCCGCTGCTTGACAATGTTATCAATTGGGATTTCCCTCCTAAACCAAAACTTTTTGTGCATCGGGTGGGTAGGGCTGCAAGGGCTGGCCGGACTGGTACTGCATTTTCTTTCGTCACATCTGAAGACATCGCATATCTTCTGGACCTACATCTTTTTCTTTCTAGACCAATTAGGCCTGCACCCAYTGAGGAAGAGGTTTTGCGAGATATGAAGGGAGTCATGTCGAAAATGGATCAGGCAATGACAAGTGGAGAAACGGTGTATGGTCGTTTCCCTCAAACGGCTATTGATCTTGTTGCAGACAGAGTTCGTGAAATACTTGATTCGTCCACTGAATTGGACTGCTTGTTGAGACCTTGTGAAAGAGCTTTCCGTTTGTATACCAAAACAAAAGAGAAGCCTTCCAGGGAGTCCATTAAAAGAGCAAAAAATTTACCCCGTGAGGGGTTGCATCCAATGTTTATAAACGTTCTTGGTGGCAATGAATTATCAGCCCTAGCCTTTTCCGAGAGCTTAAAAGCATACAGGTAAATTGTTCTGAAAAAGATCTATAGTTTTTCTTTTCTTTTTATCTATTTTTGTAGACGTAGATATCTAATTTTCATCTTATGGCTAACTAATACCAGGGCAAAGCAGACTGTCTTGGAATCTGAAGGTCATGCTGCCAAAGCAAAGCATCTGCAGGTAATAACAGAATATTAATTTATTCGTTGCCTCTTTTGATACAACTTTGCTCTTTGTTTATACTTTTTTTTGATGAATCTTGGTGACACGTGCGTAAGGCATTTTGATTAATGTGAATAGTTGCTGCTTGTATTCTATAAATGGGCAAATGGCAGGAATCATTCTATGAATACTGCAACACACCCTCTTAGTATTTTACAACTCTTGCCTTTCGTGCATCTAGAATTGTATCTCAGGGGACCTTGCTTGTGGCACTTC